AATTTTCAATAATTATTGGAGATTAAACTACTATTATTTAACTTTTAAAATTTAATTTATTGTATTTTTGTTATAAATTTGTTTTTAGTAATTATGTATTCTTGTTATTATTTATTGATTAATATTTATTATAGATTAAACTATTATTTGAGAATACACTATTTATTGACCAATTTAATATATTTTCTGTATTTTCTGTATTTTCTGTATTTTGTAATTATTGTATTTTTATTATTTATTTATTGTACTTTCATTATAAATTTATTTCCATTAATTGTGTATTATTGCTATAAATTTTCAATAATTATTAGAGATTAAACTATTGTTATTTATTAGATATCAGACTATTAATTTAGCTGAAATTATGAGTGTTTATGAGTTGGTTCAGTTTGGTTGTAGGTTGTTTGGCTAACCAAGTCGATCTAGTCAGGTTGGGGAGTTGATCACCTAAAATCGACTAACCATTAGTGAAAACCGACCAACTTGGATTGTATTGGTTTGGTTCAATTTTCAGTTTAATTGGTTGGTTCAAAAGATTTAAACTAAAAATTTTAAATTTAAAAAAATTACAATGGTATTATTATTAGAAAAATAAATTTATGGTGTAAAATATTTTAGACTAAAAAATATGGGAATTTTCTAGAAAATTGACCAACTCAGGTTGAATTGGGTTGTGTTGGCCGGTTTCATTGGTTTGATGAACAATCCTAGCTGAAATTAATTATTGTTATTTTTTGTATTGTAAAAAATTATTAAAAGTAGTATATAAAATATAAATAATTATTAATTATTTAAAAAATTAAAATATAAAATAATTGTATACTTTTATATAATTCTATTATTTAGCTTTCATTTAACAAAACCTATACATCCGCTAGTAAAAATATAAAAATATATAATTTACATATGCACGATTAGTCACCTGATGCCTCAATTCAAGTGCAGCACACCCTAAGTTGAGGTTGATCCTGAATTTGTAGATCTAAGCGCAGCCCATATTTTAAAAATCCATGCCCAACCCGTGCCAAGGCTTGATTTTGTTCTTATACGACTGAGGAAGATGAGAGGATCAGCCAATTTGGAGTGTAAGTGGGGGATCAGCAGACGTGTCTGTTGAATTGATAAATTAACTTTTGGAGAAAAGCAAAAAAACTGATTGTTTGTTTATAATGATGGAAAAATCTGTTGTGTGGTTCATAGATGCAGAAAGACAGAGCAAGAGTAGATGTAGAGCTTTGTAATGGCGCTAGCTACCTAGCTGGTGGCAGGCAAAGGGAAGATGCAGCCATTGATCTGGTTTATCTGAATTCTGAACCAAGGATATAAGCTTTGAATCTCTGCCACCAACCTTTCCTTTGCTTTTCTCCTTTTCAATTGTTCCCACCTTTTCTTTCTCTTTCTCTGCACTAATTGTCCCTTTCATTGTCTCCACGAAAAGCTCCGAGGGTACAAACCATATGGCCATGTCCAAGCTATATTATTTATTTTTGGAGTCTCTAGATCTCTCTATGTACTCTGTTTGCAGTCAGTACCTCTAAGCTTGTTCCACCCGTGACACAAAACACCAAACCGTGAGCACTCAAATGACGCACACGTCAATTAGAGAGAGAGATTGTAAATGATTCATCATAAACAATTCAATGGAGACCATGCATGCCAATTGAGTGTTGGAAATTGATCCCTTCACGAGAATCATTTATGAAGAGAAAAGGAAAAGGAAGCCGACGTGTGGTGTGGTGGTAGCCATCTCTAAATCATACCAATTTAGCCAATCACATCAGTTTTTTTTTTTCATCGTAAGTAAAAAGTGTGATTCCTCACCCTGACCAACTTTAACCTCGTGGTTGGGACGGTGAAAGCTCTCTCTCTCACATGGCGCATTAAAGGTATTAGGGGTGGATTCCAGCCAGTCGAGTGGAATACTATAAGGCTCGAGCTCGGCTCGAGACTATTATATAAGGTTCAAGTTCGAGCTCGGTTCAATTCAGAACCTTAAGTTTGAATTCGGCTCGAGTTAAAAGTTTATAAGCTTGAACTTGGTTCAGCTCATTTTATATTTTATAAATATTTTATTATAAATATATTTAGAAAAAAAATATTTTATAAAAATAAAAATTATTTTATATTTAAAAAATAAAGAATTATAATATTTTTATTATATATATATATATATATTAAATATCATGAGCTCGCGAGTCTCACGAGCTGAACTCTATTAGGCTCGAGCTCAACTCATTTAATAATCAAGCCACTGAATTGGGCTCGAGCTCGAGCAGCTTGTAAAAAGCTCGGCTCATTGCCACCCCTATGAATGTCTATACCCCAACTCATGCCTACTAAGTACTAACTAAACCTCACAAACTCAAAGCCTGAGGTTGTGTTTGATACTTTTGACTTGTATGGTTTTAGGTTGGTAAATATCAAGGTTTTTAAAATCGGATTGAACAAGGAGTCATTTTGGGTCCTCTTGGGTCGAACAGTCTGATCATCCAGTTCGAACAGATGGCCTATTCTGACAAAAAGAAAATTAAAAAAAAACCCAAAAAACAGTCAAAAATCATTCCTGGGTTGAATGGTTCAACTGCCCAGGTCAACGGTTTATTGACCAAATCAGTAGTTTTTGGCTAAGCAGCGATTTTGGGGTAAAACAATATCGGTTAGGAGACTAGTTCCCACTTCCCAGTTTTTCTAGTCCGGTCCGGTTTTGAACACACTAGTCAATGTAAATTTTATGAGAATATAGTTTTTCTACCCCAAATGCTTTGAACATGGTTTTCAAAACCAGACCAGACCGGACGGTCGGACTGAAAAAATCGGGAACCAGTTAGGTGTCCAATTCTGTTTTCCCCAAAAACCGGATTTCCCTCCAAAACTGTTGATTTTGGTTAGCGAATCGTTGAACCGGATGGTTAACCGTTTGAACCATTTGAACAATTTTGATCGTTTTTTATTTTTTTTTGTCCGAATAGGTTGAGCGTTCGGTTCGAACAGTCAAACCATTCGACCCGATAACCAAATCCTTGACCGGTTCGATCATCGGGTCGGTTTTAAAAATCATGGTTTTGAATTATCGATATAACATGGGATATACCATTGTTACTTCTTCCCGAAATGTTCTACTATAAATGCTAATACCTAATTCAATACCTATATTTTTTAGTGGAAATGGTTATTTTATATGATATGACAAGACAATTTTTCAAAAATTTTTATTGATCAAAATATTACAAATAGAAGTGACAATGATAAAAAATCTCTAATTCTCATGTCGCCTGCTTACAAGGACTTCCACCCACTTCTGTTCAAGCCCACATAAAACTAAATTACAACAAAGTGTCACGAGATCATAAACATTTTCATAAATCAATTTTTTAAGCACGAGCAGGAGGGCGTCCATCATTTCTTTAGATCTCTCTTTTCTTATCTTTTCTTATTATTATGATGAGAACACCAAATAGCTTAGACGTACTGGACATTACGAGGTTTCGGTGGTGATCCCAGATTCGAGGGATTTTCACATCCAGAAAAGCTACAACTTAATATGCTTTGTAATGGTTCTCTTTTGTTTTTGTTTTCAACTTTTCATATTAATTATATATCGAATTGTTTTTTTTTTTTTTTTTCATTCCCTTTGAACCTTTGATTGTTCGCTACTCAAGGTATTGATTATTGGTTTCTATTTTTCTCGGTTAAAAGATTCCATTTTCTTGGTGGTAATTCATGGGTACTGCATTAATAAACCTTTCTTTCGTGGGTCGGTCACCCAGTTGTTTGAAATTTTGATTTTTGACCATGTGATCCCTTTTTCAGCCTCACCCGGAGGCATACTGTGGCAAATTAATATTTGGATCATTTGCACTCAATAGGGGACCTTCACCAGATTCACCACATAGGTCAGAGAAACATTTAATTAATTCCTTTTCTGAAATCAGCAATAAATGTTACCATACTATATATCATGTGGAGTTTAGACTCCGTTTGGCATGGGTACAAATATAAAAATATATATAAAATACAAGGTTTTGCACTCTATACATTTGTATTCGTTCTAATACAAATATATAGAGTATGGCAAAACCTTTTATTTTACACGTATTTGTACTGCATATATTTATATTTATACTTTTTATAAACTGAGCCTTAAGAGTTTCTTGAAGACTTTACTTGAACATGTTTGTTAAGTGACGGGATCTGCTCCTCACGAATGAGGGAACATTTCTCGTGAATAATTACTAATAAGTATGGGAGATATTCCCAATACATGATAAGATGTGCGTGTGAAACGTCAGGTGTGAGGAGCAGATCCAGTCTCGTTTGTTAAAGGCATCACCAACAAGTTCAGCCATTTCAACCATCGATCATTCTTCTCCATGGAAGATAGACTCATGTTTAAAGCTACCAATTGATTATTGTTTAATATGGTTCATGAACACCACCAGCATTCTATATGTTCACATAACTTTTTATAGCTTTCTCAACCAGGAAAAAATGGCTTACAGGTTGCATTGGATAAAAGGTATAGAGAGGAAAGTAAAGATTTAGAAAGATAGAAACTTGTTCATCCCCACAACTCAATTGCTTGAATATTGCATATTGCAACCATGAAATAGTAAGACCCCCAAACACTCATTATAAGTACTCAAAATTAAATACTTATAAGTACTTGGTTCTCAAATCGTTTATTCACTAAACAAAGCCTTAATCATCCTACCAATTTGGCGAGCAGTGACCATCAGCTCTAGTAGTTACAGAAATAGATACCACATAGGTACAATTAACTAATCAAGTTGCTTAAGAATTCTATTCATTTAATCTTGGATTCTATAAATCACACATTGTTCTTTCAAAAGGGATTTTGATCAAATTCTTAATTCAGCAATTACGCCCTTGGTAGTTAATGCTGCACCTGCTAAGCTGTTGTTTACAGTTTACCAAGGGGTGGCTTAGAACTTGATCAAAACAAGTAGAGACCTGCCAAATTTGCTATAGAAAATCCTTCTCCCAAGACCATCCCCCAAAGCCTCTAACCATTTAACTGAAAGATGGTGATATTCTAGTCAACTACAGCCTGACATGTTTCACCTTTGCATAAGAGAGCTTCTGTTTACAGACTGCACAACTATGAATTACAGCCTCTACTTCAATGCTGGTCCATACTCCATAGAAACTCCCCTTAGTCCCCTGCCACCACCAGGTCGGATTATATACTTCACACATGAGGCTTACTTTTTAACGCCTTTGAAACGGTGGAGTTTCTCACTTTCTCTCGTGTACTAAGATTCCTTGGTAGAACTACTGGGTTCCTTCCAAACCAGGAGTAGTTCTTCAGGTCTCTGCAGGTTTCTCAATAGAGTGAGAACTGCCTGCGGTAAACCCTTTGAATCGCACATCCAATGGAGAACCTTCGTGGCTTCTTGCTTATTTGGGTCGTCTCCATCTTTCTCTCGTTCAACTTAATCAATGTGGAAAGCAGATACCATTTTCACAAGAAACAGAAGAGTAAGAGCTCAAATGCAGGGATTTCTTTTTGGCAGTCCCCCCCTGCTAATCCCCCCGATGCAGACGATCCGCCGACTGATCCTGGGTATTCAACCTCGGAGCCCTGTGTTTTTGATGTCACATCTTTTGGGGCGGTTGGAGACGGTTCCACTGACGACACTGACGCATTCATGGCAGCCTGGAAAGCGGCCTGTGCGGCTGAATCCGGGGTTCTTCTTGCTCCGTCTGATTACGTGTTTCTGATAAGGTCGACAATTTTCTCAGGCCCATGTCGACCGGGCTTTGTGTTTCAGGTAGCAATGCTGCATCATTCTAGTTTCATCTCATCTTTGTGGCTTGTTCAATATAATCGTCTAGACTCCAACCTTCCGTTTTAGCATTCCGGTGATATTACTTCAAGTTTTGGTTATGACAAGGTGGAGGGAATCCTGATGCCGCCGGACGGACCAGACTGCTGGCCTAAATCGGATAGTAATAAGCAATGGCTCGTGTTTTACCGGATAGATGGAATGACTCTTACTGGGTGTGGCACCATTGAAGGGAATGGACAAAAATGGTGGGAACTCCCCTGCAAACCTCACAGGGTATTTTATCAAACATTTTCTAAATAAATAAACCCTTCTCCTTTTTTTTCTGTTTGTTTTGTAGTTAAATTGCTGAAATCCCATTGCAGGGCCCTAATGGAACGACATTGCCTGGACCATGCGACAGTCCTGCAGTAAGTTGCTTTTCTAGCAGAAGCCCAATTCAAGGTTCCATCAACCCAACAAGGATTTGTAGTAATTTAGAGATGTTCTGCTTTGTTTTTTTTTTGTTTCAGTTAATTCGGTTCTTCATGAGTTCTAATGTGGTGGTCAGTGGCCTACGGATCCAGAACAGTCCCCAATTCCACATGAAATTTGATGGCTGCGAGGAAGTTTTGATAGAACAGCTCTCCATATCTTCCCCTGCTCGTAGTCCCAACACAGACGGAATCCACATTGAGAACACAAAGTCTGTTGGAATATACAATTCCATCATAGCCAACGGTAACCCTATCAAATACTTAATCTGAAGTCATCAGTTTAACAATGCTTGATCAACTTGTACACCTCAAGCTCATTAACAGTATGATCTGATGTCTCAATAGGTGACGACTGCATCTCCATTGGACCAGGTTGTTCAGGCGTCGACATAGAGAACGTCACTTGTGGGCCTAGCCATGGAATTAGGTGAGTGGCATTTCTTCCTTGGTATGAACCTAGAATTAAGGTTGAATCAGTTGGGTCAATCCATTTTCCAGGCTTAATACTGAGAGACAGAGGATTGGGAATGGGAAGTGCTGCCTGGAGTCACGATCAGTCATTACTTTCTCTTGGAAGAGAATACAACAGCCACCAATAGCCTCCATTCAAAATAAGAATCATCTCCTGAAATCTTGAAGTGCCCTGATTCCAATATTTTATTAACAGCCCAGTTTTGAATCCATTTAGGTTCTCAAGCTATGATCTTGACTGTAAATGAAAACAGGCTCCAAGACTGCTAACTCTGAGAATCACTTTTGAACTAATTCTTTTTTTTTCCTTCTCTGTGCTTGGGGGGTGAATGGAGGGGACTCAAAACTCATTCTTCAAGTAGTGGTGCATAAACTTAATCACTTTTTTCCAATAATTTAGACTTGTAGACATGAATAGTTTCTGGGTCAGAGTGGTGAACTGAACTGAATAAACTCTTGGATGCAGCATTGGGAGCCTAGGAGTGCATAACTCACAAGCATGTGTCTCGAACATAACAGTCCGCAATGCATTAATAAGGAACTCAGACAATGGAGTGAGGATAAAGACATGGCAAGGGGGAATGGGTTCTGTGTCAGCTATAAGCTTCGAGAATATCCAAATGGAGAATGTCAGGAACTGCATCATTGTGGACCAGTACTACTGCTTCACAAAGGGTTGCCTGAACCAGACGTCCGCCGTGCTCGTGACCAATGTATCCTACAAGAACATAAAGGGCACCTACGATGTGCGTAGCCCCCCAATACATTTCGCCTGCAGTGACACGGTGGCGTGTACCAACATTACACTTTCAGAGGTGGAGCTTCTACCTGCAGAAGGCGAGCTGGTGGATGATCCCTTCTGTTGGAATGCTTATGGAACTCAACAGACCGCCACAATCCCTCCCATTTCCTGCCTGCTAGACGGAGAACCTCAGTCCATAGCAGAGAGCTCTAGTTTTGGTTGTTAGGGAGTTCTTAGTCCTACTAGAATGAACCCACTAATAACTTAACTGCATACACCCCAGTAGCCCATATTTTTTACTCCATCCCTTCTGGGGCTTGTTTCCCTTACAGTGTGATGTGATGTAGCAGAAATGGGCCTATTCTTTTTTATCCCTTCATTGTAATAGAATGGAATTTTACAGGATTACTGTAGAAGCCAAGCATATAAATAATAGTTCAGCACCGTCGTTGGTTTTCTATACAGATTTATTTATTTTTTTTTTTCTGGTAGAAAGATGATTCCATTAGAAAACCAGGAAGCAAGATACAGACGAGACACTAAAAAAGACAAGCAGAAGAAGAAAAGAAAACTAAAGAAAACCTAAGGCCCCATTTGGTTCGCAGGAATAGGGGTCTGGAATGGGAATTGGAATGGGCTATTCCAATCCCAACTGTTTGGTTGGGCGGAGTCAAAATCAGAATCCTATTTCTATTCCTGGTAGAATGGCAACATGGCATTCCCATATTTGAGGGAATGGCCATTCGCTCCTCCTTCCTTGGGAAGGAAATCCCACGTTCCTATTGATTCCAATTGCCATTTCCATTTATATCTAAACCAAACAGACTATGGGAATAGACCATTCCGATTTTAATTCCAACTGTAAACCAAACATATCCTTAACAAATAAGCGAAGCAAAATCTGTCTTTCAACAAAACATGCGGCTTCGTGAGCAACTCCATTAGAACACCAAGACAATTTACAAAGTTAGAAAATTAAATTAGCAAGCACGATCCGAATAAAAAATAACATTGTCTAAGTTGTTTTCAATGCAGAGCTCAGGCATGGCTACAAACAGAGTGGCCATCAGTTGTGAAATTATGCAGATACTGATGTCATCAGTCCATCTGTTACTGTTTAAGTAACAGATGTGAAATTTGAATGCTAGCTCAGGGAAAGAAATGAAAGATTTGTACTGCCGCCCAGACACGATGAGCATATGAAGAATAATTGGTTTGGTGCATCACATTTGATGGTCCACATCTTCTGTCTGTGACTATGGTCACGGCAAAACAATGCCACCACCCAATGAAAAATGGACGCGCTAGTAATCCCGCACAAATCAGATCACCCGATGTATTTATAAAACGAAGGAAAAAAATGTAGGAAAAAGAAAGAAAAGGTAAGGAAACCTATTCAGGTTTGTAAAGGTTTCGCTACTTTTCTATTTCTTTCCCTATTTTTTTCTTTCAAACTAAATACAGCTTTATGATTATATACATGGGCTCCATCTCACGTTGTCCAGGTTTCCAAAGCCACCTTGATTGGCTCTGGCTGCATACTTGGGAGGGCGATGAGGCTTCTAGCATTTACCGTGTTTGGTGAAAATCCGACGCGAGTTCTACTCGTCACAATTGGGCGCCTCACATGCACAATCACCGCTGCATTGAAAATATCTCCCATAAATAATTAGTAAATATGGGAGATGTTCCCAATATATGTAAAATGTGCGAGGCGCCAGGTGTGAGAAGCAGATCCGGTCTTTGAAAATCCCAAATCCAACATTGGCATTACAAACACCAGAATCGTAACCATATAACATAAAATTACTTTTGAATGGATTATCCAGAACATGGGCACTTAACCCAAACGGAGAAGCTATCCTAAACGGGCCTGGATGGCTCATTCCCTCACATTAGAGAGGGCTATTCTTGACTCTTGATCCATCAAACTGGTAGAGTGGTAGTTGTTGGGTCTGGGCTGAGCTGCTAAATCCCAATCTTGTTTGACACGACGCAATACGAATATATTGGGTGAATTTTTTTTCGGTAGTTACCAAAATTTAAAACTTTGGACTGGTTGTAAATCTGAACAAGGTAAGCTGGATGGTTTTCTTATTGCCTTTCTATTTAACCTTCCTCAACAGCGCGGCAAGGCCCGTGTGTGGCCCATGCAAAGTGTGGGCCATGCCATGTCGGCCTGTGAGCTGAGATGGGCCATCCTTTCCGCCCCCAGATACTTCAAGGGGGGGGGGGGGGTCGGCCTGGCATGGCCCAAGCCCATGCGGGCCTGTGCTGGGCCATGCCATGGACCTGCCTAGGCCAAACCAGGCCATACTGTTTTTTTTTTTTGCTAAGCAAACACTAAAACTAAAATACTTTACTTTCCTTAATTTCTTTGAGCTTTGGGAACAAATTGGAAAAATAAAAAATATAACAAAGAAATGAAGAAAAAAATACTTAATACTCAACAAAACACAAAATGGACAACAAATTGGAAAAAAATAAGAATTTTATTTCTTGAATTTGAACAATACAATGGTCAATGGATGAATGAAATATAGATAATGGAATAAAATGTAAAAAACTACAATACAATTATAAATTGAAAATAAAAAATTACATTGTTGAAAAAATAACAACTAATTTAAATAAAATTGAAAAAATTACAATAATTTTAAAAATTGAAAAAAAAAATGCAATAATTGAAATATTGAGTATACAAAAAAATAAAAAATATTGACTTCATTTTTCTTCAAGTTTCACCTCCACCTACATCTTCATCATCTGCTTCAGGTGAAACATCAGGTGTAATGTCATGCCCTCCTTTGTCTTGTAATCTATCCTCATCATCCAACCAATTTTTAAGGTAGATGTGCATCTCCAAACTTTCATCATTCATGCGGCTTCTCTTGTCGCCCAACACCCTAGTACCTGCACTAAAACAAGATTCTGATGGACTGTAGACACCGAAGATTTAGTAGATCACGTGCCATGGCGGCAAGGACTAGATAGTTTTTTTTCATGTCCTCTCCACCAAACTAAAATGTCAAAACTATTTCATTTCACCGAGTCGCAGGAATCGGCTAAAGTAGAAAAATTTGCTTGTAAAAAAAAATTAAGTTCAGAATATGAACTTGTTGATGAAGAGGTAGTAGATTTCTGCCTCTTATTTATTAGAGACCAAATTTTATCTTTTCCACCACTAGAACTAGCTATTTTAGAAGTTGTACTTGTACAAGATTTCTTATTCCCTATCACTTGAGATTCATATAAACTATATATTTTAAATAATAAACTATTAATTTCTTCTTTTTTTATTTCTAATTTCAATATTCATATTTTTACAATATGATTCAAGTAAAACTTCTAAACGATCCTTAGGAAGATTACATCCTAGATAAATCATCATAAAGAAGTTGCTCTTGATGATGAGAGCCCAGGGGTAGTGGGAGATGTCCCACCGAATTTTATCTTTGCAAGCCTCCAATTCGTTACGGCTATGACCAAGAAAGTTACTTGGTGGAAGCCACAACTAGTAAGGAGGATCTCGTGACTTATTCAGAAGCTATGTTGGACATAGATTTCTTGAAGTGGGGTAGATGCCATGAGAGCTGAGATGGACTCAATAAAGACCAATGGAGTTTGGACTCTAATAGATCCGCCCCCTGAGGTAAAGGCAATTGGTTGCAAATGGATTTATAAGAGAAAGAAAGGCCCTGATGGTAAAGTTGAGACCTACAAGGCTCGTCTTGTGGGGAAAAGATACACTCAGAAAGAGGGAATCGATTATGAGGAAACCTTTTTGCCTGTGACCATGCTTAAATCCATTAGGATCTTGCTAGCTATAGCAACATACCATGACTACAAGATTTGGCAAATGAATGTCAAAACCGCATTCCTGAATAGAGATCTTATTGAATATATCTACATGCAGCAACCGCAAGGTTTCATATCTGCATGTCAAGAACACATGGTATGTAAACTCAACCGATCCATATATGGACTTAAGCAAACTTCTAGGAGTTGGAACATCTGGTTTGACTCTACCATCAAACAGTTTGATTTTAAGTAGAATCCGGATGAGCCCTGTGTTTATAGGAAGACAGTGGAAGATAAGGTTATGTTCTTGGTTCTGTATGTAGATGACATTCTACTCATTGGGAATAATGTAGGAATGTTAAATATGGTAAAAGTATGGCTTTCATAACAATTCTCCATAAAAGATCTTGGAGAAGCCTCCTGCATATTGGGTCTTCAACTCTATAGAGATATATCGAAGATGATAATAGGATTATCTCAGTCTACTTACATTGACAAGATTGTCAAAAGATACAGCATGGAGAACTCTAAGAAAGGAAATGTTCCTTTTAGGTACGGAGTCACTCTCTCCAAGGGCATGTCTCCCAAGACTCCCGAAGAGATTGAGGGCATGAAAGAAATTCCCTATGCCTCAGTCGTAGGGAGCATCATGTATGCCATGTTGTGTACTCGTCCTAGTTTGACTCTATCGTCAAACAATTTGATTTTAAGTAGAATCTGGATGAGCCCTGTGTTTACAGGAAGACAGTGGGAGATAAGATTATTTCTTGGTTCTGTATGTAGATGACTTTTTACTCATTGGGAATAATGTAAGAATGTTAAATATGGTGAAAGTATGGCTTTCACAGTAATTCTCCATGAAAGATCTTGGAGAAACCTCCTACATATTGGGTCTTCGACTCTATAGAGATAGATAGAAGATGATAATAGGATTATCCCAATCTGCTTACATTGACAAGATTGTCAAAAGATAAAGCATGGAGAACTCTAAGAAAGGAAATGTTCCTTTCAGGTATGGAATCACTCTCTCCAAGGGCATGTCTCCCAAGATTCCCGAAGAGATTGAGGACATGAAAGAAATTCCCTATGCCTCAGCCATAGGGAGTATCATGTATGCCATGCTGTGCATTTGTCCTAACATTTATCAGGCAGTGAGTGTGGTAAGAAAATATCAATCTAACCCAGGGTAGGAGCATTGGACCACTGTGAAAAACATATTAAAATACCTTTGAAGGACAAAAGAGTTTTGTCTGGTATTCGATGGTAGTTCATTACAGATCCAAGGGTATACAGATGCCAATTTTCAATCAGATCTAGATGATAGAAAGTCTACATCTGGTTATATCTTCACGATAGGATCGCGTGCTGTTAGTTGGAAAAGCAACAAACAAGAGTCCACAACAGATTCCACAATTGAGACCGAGTACATTGCCGTAAGTGAAGCTACCAAGGAAGTCGTTTGGCTAAAGAAGTTCATTCAGGAATTAGGAGTAGTTCCATCCATCACATCACCTATTCCATTGTGGTGTGACAACACTGGAGCCATTACTCAAGCTAAGGAGCCACGAGCCCATTCAAAGTCGAAGCACATTGAGAGGAAGTACCATGTACTATGGGAGATAGTTGGAAGAGGGGATGTCTTGATTCAAAAGGCAGCATCA